AATACGGGGACAAGCAGGTGCTTCAGAAGTATTTCACACGTAGAAGCATAAAGAGGCGCCTGATACAGCTTCTCTGTAGACAAGCTCAAACAAAAAGGATCTGGAGGGAAGGACATCAGGCCAGTCAGCTGAAGAAAATCCAGTAAATGGGGTGTGCTGGGCAGATTAATGGCCCCCTCAAAGCTGTCACATCCGAGTCCCTGCAATCTGTAATGTATTCCCTAACATGCAAAGAGGAGTTAGTCTGCAGGAGCCCAGGGCAGCTGCTGGGCCAGATGTTGGTGCTCCTGCTGGAGGGGCAGCTTCTCAGGTAGATCATCTGTGAAAGGGTGATCTTTTCCAAACCTGTCAGAGAGGAACTTAGAAGCAGTTCTAGTTACCTGGAATGGACGATCTAGTCCCAAGGCTGTGTGAAGGCTCCAGCTCTCTGTCCCGGGTCAGCGTGAGGCCTGCGTGGTCCAGACGCCCTGCAGAACCACACTCGCGTGCTACCCTGGCTGCCCAGTTGGTGCTCCCAGGGCCTCAGGGCGGAGGCCATGGATCTAATCCGGCCCTACCTATCTGCACGGCTTTGTTGGAAGGCAGCTAAACTCATTTTTAAAATATACAGTCTATGGATACCGTCATGCGACAAAGCCAGAGCTGAGTCATTGTGGCAGAAACTGTATGGTCCGCACACCTGAGACGTTTACTACCTGGCATTTCCCAGAAAAGGTCGCCTGGGTATGTTGGGACACCTCTCCAAGGTGAATAACGAAGCATTGCGTCTCTCACTTCCCACAGTGAAAAAGACAGCAGTGCCTGGCAGGCGTCTGTGTCCGGAGCAGCCTCTTCCACACTGGGAACGGAGCTGTGACCATACACGGGGTGACATGTAAGGCTTCCAGCTCTGAAGGGGGCCCAGAGAAGGAAAGGGGTCTCCAGTGGGTCTGGCCAGTAGACAAGTGGCCCTGACCCTCGGACCACACAACCCTGCAGACCCCATGCTCAGTGGTGTCCCTGGTGCGGAAGGATGTTCTGAGGACTCCGCCGGCAGTCGCCAGGGGGAACATCACAGTGCAGAAATGCAAGGACTGGGAGCAAGGCCATGTCATCTGCAGAGAAATATACAACTCTCTTCAGCATCTCCTGGGACGCCGCTGAGCCCTGCTAGAGAGGAAGTGTCTGTACTGAGACACTAAGTGTGGGCAAAACCGCCCATAATGAGCTGGGTTCTGTCAGACCCATCAAGTCGTGAAGTTAGCGGGGCGCAGCGGGAAGCGGCCTGAGCTGGAAATGGCGCGTCCGGGTCCCGCATTAGCAGGTGCAGACAGGCTGCACAGCCGCCCTCTGCCTTCACAGGCCCCCCGCCCACACCCAGGGAGCTGAATGTTCCTTTATCACCAGCTGCTGAAGAAGCAGGGAGTGTGGACTTGGTGCACAGAGGACTAAGAATGTTGTGCACAGTCCCAGCCAGTTTGGATCAGCAGTTAGAGCGTTAGCCTGCGGACCAGAGAGTCCTAGGTTCGGTTCCCGCTAAGGGCACGTACCTCGGTTGTAGTTTGTCGGTTGGGGTCATGTGGGTGGCAACCACTCGATGTGTCTCTGTCACGTTGATGTTTCTCTCTCTCTTCCTCCTTCTCTCCCTCCCACCCTATCTAAGATAAATGCAAAAATGTCCTTGGGTGAGGATAAAAAAATAAAAGAATGTTGTGCACAAGCTGGAAATGGATGGTGACATCACTACTGTCCTGACCAGGGCAGTGCAGAAACAGATTGGTGAGGAAAAACCTTCCTCCCAGGAGCACAGTTTCTGCCCCGTGGGCCTGGTCATGCACTTTGTGTGGAAGAAACGGCCCAAGGTTATGATATATGTGGACTTACAGGCACTAAGATCAGCAAAGTGTGGAGTGCAAAGGGAATTCTAGCCACAGCTTCGCTGCTCACAGGCTGCCAGGTGCCCCTGGGAGCATCACCTGGTAGGTATGACTGCATCCTGGATGTTTCATCTGTAAAACAGAGCTGTCCACACAAGCCAGGTGTCGCTTCTCCAGGAGCGCGATGGACTTTGTTCCAAGTTTCTGTTATCGATGAAGGACAACACCATCGAATGAAAGATAATTTTACATAACTGACTTCTGTTTGGTTGGTTGTCTGGTTGCTTCTCTTGTCTTTAATTTACCACCCAAAGAATGTATTCAATGTGATTTAAAGAGCAACACTGGGGAAAGGATTGAACAAAAGAGCAGAGCTGTTTCCTAGCGCGAACAAGGGCTATGTCAGTGGCATTGTCTCTACAAAATTAAGATGTTGTTTCCCACAGGTGACCCCCATTTCACTTGCCACCCTAACTCCACTCTATTTGCATACTGCACATTTGAATTTAATAAGATTTGGGAAATTTCGTCCTCTCAAAAAGAGAATGTTACTGATGTATTGTTTTCACTTGAAATCACAAATCAAGAGTTGTTTAAACTTTTATATTACAGAAGGGTGTACTGTGCAGAGTGAGGCAAAGTAATTTACAGGTGTTCAATTGGAAAATAATGCAATAATAATAAATAAGAATACAAGAATAAACTGGTTCGTGTACTACTCACCACTGTAAACTTTCTTTGGCCCATCCCTGTATTTTCCATATAATCCTGTGCATCTGTGAGTGCTCATTGGTCAAGCTCTCTGCAGAAGTAAAAGGAGTTCCTCCAACCTAAATACGTAATAATCTTTCAACGAACAGTTGCTAATAGCCAAATCATTGTTCTCTGGCAAAACTTAAAGTCTAGTTTAATTTCTTTTACTTGTTACAATCAGTAAACATTTTTCTATTTTTTCTTTCATTTCTGAATCAATTTAAAAGAAAAAAATACATTATAAATACAGCTTTTGTTAACAATTCATAATAATCACAGGATGTACCAATAGGTTTCAAAAAACACACACACCAGGAAAGAAGGCATACATCTACACATCTTTTTACTGTTCTGAGAAAAAAAAAATTCCAGTATAATTTCCTCATTTTAAACTTTTATACAATGTCTCTTAAAATATATTGTGTATTTTAATTCAAAACTGCATTTTATTAAGAAAAAAGAAGGAACAGAGATTACCAATCAGGACATGAAAGTCATGGCGGCGTATGATGAATCGGAGCATTTTGATGCCATAATGTTGCAGTTTCTAGCAGGGCAGACCACAGAGTGCTATGCGGCGTCACCATCTATAAACCTGTCTACATTCCAGCTCCCTGCCAGGTTAATGCTGCTACTAAATAACATAAACATCTATAAAAGACTCAGTCCTTTTATGATGTTTGTAATCAGCTTTGCATCAAATAAAAACTACCATCTCTGTGTCCACACCTTCACTAACCACCACCACAAATCTTTCAATTAAAACATAAAAAATATGCCATTTTTCAACACAGGTCCTTTATGAACTACTATGTTAATTCACGTTCTTAAGAGTTAGTCAAGCATTTACAGAAACATCTAAATGGATATAGTGCTATGAGAAAAGACAGACAGGTTTTGTAAGAAGAATTAAGAAGTGAAAAAAAATGATGCCTAATTGACATATTTCCAAATTATTCTAGTGTGGACAAACTAAGGAATCCAGCTTTTCCTTAGCAAGCATCTAAGAAGTGTGATTATAAATAGCAAAGTGCCTTTATCATTTAATTGGCTTGTGAACTTCAAAGATAGCTGCATGCAAATATCTTGTTTAGATGGCCTCAAAATTAATTATTGTATCAGTTTCATAAGATTATTGATAATTCTTTAATCTCCTGGTATTTAATCCCCTAATCAGAATGTGCTAGTTAGCAGGTTTTACTGATTTTTGGTACTTTTTGATAAATGTACCCCATTGTCATAAGTGTACCCCATCGTCGTAAAGGAGAAGTGACGAGAGAGACACACTTAATATATCTCAGGTGATACGTCATCACCCTTTAAAATGAGCAGTCTTTAATTACTCTACTGGCTTTGCAGAAAGGGGTATAGTTGCAGCTTATATTTCATCAAGCGTGCCCTGGAGGTCAGAGCAGCGAAGCGTGTGTCTGAAAGGGTCTGTACTTTAGAATGGGAAATGGAGCTCTACACTTAAAAGTGTCTCTTTTTAATTTTTTTTTCTACTACATAAGACCATGCTCTATGGAATATAGTGAGGGGAGATCAAAGAAAAGTTGGAGATAAACTTCAGAAGAACAGTATAAACCTATAAAGAGAATGGACCCTTATATTTCAGTTATAAATAAAAATAATATTTTGCAGTGTAAAGGACTGTGTTCTTATATCAGCACATTTCGTTGCAAACATTTCACAATCCTTGGGACATTGGCATTACCCAGGGTCTTCACTGCTGCCACTACCAAACAGTAACAGCAAATTAAACAGAAAAATTTTAGAGGCCAGACATCACACACAGATGACCAACGCACTTTCGGAGTCTTTTACCTATGAATTCTGGGTTCAGAGCTGAATTCTGACGCTCAAACCTAATGGATTTGAAATCATTAAGAAGAGTCCAATAGGAAAAGAGCAATACAAGCGAACCAATGACAACAAAACAGCTTTCAAGACTATTGATAGATTGTATTGAATGTAATGCAGAGAAAGGCAAGGGGGTCTGTTTAAATGATGCTTGGCCACCGAAGATGCAAACACCAGCCAAACAGGGTCTTCGAGGCATTTCCAGGTCCGTGGGTCACGCCAGGGGAGCACGAACGCGCACAGCATCTGTTCGCAAGTAGAGCGAGGCCGGCACAGTCCGTCTGAGATCTGCCTCTAGCAAAGCGTATGTATCACGTGGTTGGGGAGGGAGGGGGGCCGTGTTAAAACCTTAGTCATCAAGTCAGTTACACTTCTGCTTTCAGTTGCATCAGAACAGTTGGAAATGAACAGCGGTATCTCACTCCTTGTTACAAGAATGACTGCTACGGGACACGAGTCGCTGGCGAGGCCTCCCGGAGCCACCTCCCGGCGGCCGTGGCAGGAAGGCAGCGCTGCAAACCCACTGCCCGTACGTCCACCGTGAGAACCGCTGTCACCGCCTCCGCCCCTGGCTACTAACACACGGTCCTCAGTGTCAGTCAGGCGCAGCTCAGTCAGAAGAAGTACTCTTTCTGATTTTCATTGACTGCGTTTTGTCTCTTAAGCTCACTTTTCAAAACAGCCTCGGCACTGTCTACGTTCTCCGACCTTTTCGCCTCATTTCTTTTGTATGACCTTTTCTGCTGATAGATGCGCACGGCGATGGCAGAGGTGCACAGCAAGATGAAGATCACAACAGCTATCAAACCTAGTGAGAGGGGAGAAGAGAAACACAAATCAGGGTTCTCGCCCCAACAGGCACTGTGTTGACGTCACTGTTCAGTAAGTCATACTGAAATTATTTTCTGCTTAAATCAAGCATCCCATTTCATAAATTGGAAATATCAACATTTCAGGTATTTCTGGATCAAGTGGTATCGTAATATAGAGTTTACTTCTGAGTTCTATTAACCTTGAGGGCTCACCTCCAAATGTTCTGAATGTGTATTACATTGGATTTATTTAGTGTATTTATATTTAACACAAGAAGGTCACTAAGACCATGTGGTCACTTCATACAAATACACAGACAAATTTTAATTATCTTGAAATTATAGAATTTAGTAACATCACAAAATAATTTCATGTGTTTTTATACTTAAATATGTAAACATTTTAAGGAAGTTGATTTTCAATAATTTGTCATATGCTGAATAGCAGAAACAGGTTATATTTATAAATAATCCTGACTAATGAAATATATCAATACCCATATATGGGCATATTTAGACTGTTTCTATATGAGGAATATTGATTTTTTTGAAACTTCTGGTTGTAAGTAAAAAATTTATATGCCACAATGTTAACAATACCAATGGTTCTCAACCCTGGCATTACATCAGGTTGGTAGTCTTCAGAGTGTGATCCGTGAACGCCTGGTGGTTCCTGGGATATTGTGAGGGAGTTCACAGGGTCAAAACTATTTTTATAATAATTCTGAGATGACTTTTTTATTGTATTGACATATTCACTGGTAACACAAAACAAGGTTGTGAAAAATTCCTGTTTCTTTCTTTTTTAAAATTTTTTTATTTTACTGATTTGATAGCAAGAGAGAGAGAAACATCAGTGTGAGAGAGAAACATGGATTGATTGCTTCCCACAAGTGCCCCAACCAGGAATCGAACCTACAGCCTGGGTATGTGCTCTGACCAGGAATCGAACCCACCACCTTTTGGTGTACGGGATGACACTCCAACCAACTGAGCCACACCAGCCAGGGCAATTTCTGTTTCTTTAGCATGAATTCAAGCCAGGCTACCAAAGGCTTGCATGGCTAGGCAGTTGAGTGGGGGGAAGGGGGGGGCAGATTCATTTAACAGCATCTCTGATGAAGCACTAAAATTACTCATTTTATTGAATCTTGACCTTTGGCTATAAGTCTTTTTAATGTTTTGGGTAACAAAATAAAAAATTTTCATATACTTCTGATGTACCCTGAAGTCTGGTGGTCCCCAGGACAGCGCCGTGGGAACAGGTGAGCTATGAGCCAAACTACCTGCTTTCTGCTTCATGGAACAGTTTCTCTGTGGATGAATGACTGGCTGGCCAGCTGGTCTGGACTTGGGAATTGGGCAGGTCTTTTCTCCACAATGAATGCACAACAGACAAGATGCAGGGGGGCAAACGTCGGTTTAGAGTTGTGAGTACACAAAACAGATTCATTCTTGCATTATGATGTATTTATTTGTATTTTTCCACGTGAACCACTCTAACCTGCCTGTTGCCCTCCCCTGTCTATGCTGCCGATGGTAAAGTCGAACTATCACGTGGAAGACAGAGTTTGGGAAACTATTGCCTGTCCCCATGAGTTCGAGAGTCTCCTACTACTTAGACTTTTCTGATGAGATCAGCAGAGTTGTTAACTAATGGTTTTGTTTTTCAGACAAAAATAGGTACAAAGAAAACAGCGAAGTGGATCCTAGTGTAACTCCAGGAGTCTTCATTCTAGTTTAAATCAAGTGTCTACAGCTCTAACGGAGTCCACCCAAGCCAAACCTATGAAGGGCCTCATCGGTCACAGTGAATTCCTGAGCCCATGACTTTAGGGGCAGATTCACTATAGCCAATCATAACATTGCCGATGGCTAAATCGATTTTTGACTAGGTCAGCTTTATCTGAGGAGAGCAATATAGATAAATCTAATATAAACGTGGTAACCCAATTCTGCACTTCAAATCTGAAGAACTTACCAGTGGATATGGTTATTTCTTGTTATGATTAGCCATGTTAATAAATAATCATTCTAATCAGAACCATTTGTTGTTATATTTTGCCTCTCATCTTAGAAAAGCAATCCGTTGAACTGCTACAAATATCTCTATCATCTGGGTTAGGCCTCTTGTTTACAGAAAAATACTCTGAGCAATGTCAATGTGAAAATTGATGGCCATGTTACAGAGAGCGAGCTCCTGCAATTATAAATAAACACCAACATCACATTGTCCCAGAAAGGACACCCAGACAGTCAAAACCATGGACCGACTCTGGAACTAATTTCTCTGTGTATGTGATTTATGTCTTTTAATTTGGGGAAGATGTTATGTCAGGATTTGTCGTGTCTTAAAAAAACCTTGATTTAATCTGCTATACAAACAAAACAAAAGATATTCTGAATAAAATATGGCCAACGACTACACTCCCCGACACTGCCGTCTGCAACTCTGTGTGACCGTGTTCTTAAGAGGAAATGATGCAGCCTTCTGTCTGTCTACATCTGACCATCCACGTTGGTGTAGCCTGGCCAGAAACCATTCTACAATAACACAGAATGACTCAGCACCTCTCCTTTACTCTGTAAATCTCGACAATGATCTTTGCCCAGAGCAACAATATTCTAAAGAGTAAATATTTTGTTCTAACATCAGCTTGACTATCCATTTACTCTCTATTTATATCTCTCCCTGTATTCCACTTCTCCCTATATGTATACTTGTTAAATGTTTAGCAAACACCATTATGAGACTGAGGTAATATGTTTGACTAGAAACCTTGTTTTTAAATGTGGAGAGCCCAGCCAGTGTGGTTTACTGGTTGAGTGTCAACCCATGCACCAAGAGGTCGCAGGTTCAATTCCCAGTCAGTACACATGCCCAGGTTGTGGGCCCAATCCCCAGTGGGGTGCATGCAAAAGGCGGCCAATTGATGTTCTCTCTCATTAATGTTCCTACCTCTCCCTCTCTCTTCCTTCATCTCTCTCTAAAATCAATAAAGAAAAATTTTTTTCTTAATGTGGAGACTGAAATGATATAGCTTTGAGTTTTTATCATATAATGTATTGCTAATATATTAATGTATTTCTTTTAGACATGCAGTTATTAACAACTCTTCTAACAGGGTTTTTGTTTTTTCTCACGTGACTAATTGGGGACCCTATTTTAAGTATCTTTAATTTATACGCCATGAATTTGATAAAAAGAAAAGGAACAGGAAATAGCAATGAGGATGGTAATATTCCCACAAAGATCTGACCAGTACTATACTGTCTAAATAAAATCCTAATTACTTAAAGGAAGTGGATGTCCAGATGAGCAAGGGTATAAAAAAAATAAACCACATAAGTTGCCCGAGTATATCAGTAATCACATCACCTGGCAAATGTAATGAAATAATTGTTTACTTTTTCTGTCTGTATCAGGTGCAAACTGCAGAGAAAAGGTGAGCTACTGAACATTTCAATAATCTGATTAATACCATTTGTAAAATCATTAATCTGGAAGAAAAAAGTTTATTTCGGGGATTGGTATTGAATAAACTATGTCTCAGAGAATATATTTTGTCTCACTGCCAGAAAGATATACTTAACTTTTTTTGTTTTGTCAATTCTGCAACTTGAAATAACTAAGGAACCATTTTTATTCCATTTACCTAAAATGTATACAAATGCAACTAAAAATGTAATATTTATCTATGATAGCATCTATACCATGGAAATATCTGTTTTATTAATCATTAAGGCAACATAAAATATATGCTTCCAACGTTAATCTCAAGTCTTCCCAACTTTTTACATAAACCCTTACAGAAGCAATGATATGTCCAAGAAGGCATCAAAACTGACATTTCTTCAAATATACTCAGAATTACCTAGGGAATGCAGATGGCTCTTTTCAAGCTAAAGTATATTCCTTATTACACAGTTTAGCAACTATTCTTTAAGTGCGGTGCTTCAGTAAAATGATCAATTATTTACACTGAAAATCACCAAAGAAGCTAGGAATTTAGGAATATGCCATAAGACAAGCCAGTACAAACAATAAGCCAACCCCATGGACCTCAGGATTCAGTGCCTAACACCTGGGATTCTTCATGAAGGGTTTCTGTAATGCTAAATATTCACCATTACTAGTAATGATAATAAGAACCAAAGAGCTCATTCATGCTTTCTATTACCTCCAATTACTGCAGAGTCACTTTTGATAGCATTAGCTAGGGGTTCTCTGTCATCTCTTGTTCCAGAATGATCTGCAGTTAGAAGACAAAAAAGTGGGGGGTGATATAGGCAAGTGGAAAGAAGGACTGTTGAAACCATCATAAACGTTGTAAAGCAGAACAGAATGCAGGTCAATGTGGGAGCTCTGTCATTTCAAACTTCAGAAATGTCAACTGCAACATCCCACATGCATGGGAAAGTGAGAGTCTAGAAAGAAATAGCAAAGAAAACTGAGAGTTAAATGAAGCCAATTTGAAGAAACCATCTGGAGAAATGGAGCATAACAGCAACATCGGAAGTTTTCAATCCAATGGACAAGCCATGTCTGTGACCAGGTAAAGAAAGACACGTACGCTACCTGCAAAGGAGTGTGTCCTCTCCCTGGATGTGGCATCAGTGCCAGCCTGGGCCACACAGCTGGACTCCGCCACGTGTCCTGAGACAGTGATGAGGGCCGGGCGGCTGGGGTGCAGTGCAGCCTTCAGAGGGGCCACGTGGCTGAGCTGCACTGCAGAGAGACAGCCCAGGAAGCCCTGGGCACCAGCCAGCGCCGTCTCCTGGTCCAGATCGCTGTGCTCTGCAGAGACAGAGCAACACAGCAATGTTAGTAGTGCTGGTGCAGGCGGGAATGCACAGTGCAACGTCCTGGTCCATAATGCAATAGCTATATATAGATTTAGTCACTATGCGAGCGCGCACACACACGGGGACGGAATTCCTTTTTCTTTTGTCTTCTTTCTTAAAAAAGTCAGATCCATTAAGTCTTTCCACAATACTTGGTGAGACTTTCCAGGTTAATGAAGGCAAGATTTTAAATATGGCTAATTAAATATAATATGACAACCTCTCTGGAAATGATTAAAGCCGCCATAGAGTTGGGTCAGGACACAAACAGATGAGGGCTCATGATGATGGTCTCACGCAGTAGAGGTTACACTCCCCAGTTTTTAGGGACTCTCCCTATCTGCTCATGGACAGCAGAACTTTCCTATCTCACTGCCTTTCTACTCGTCTCTCTGTCTGCCCGTCACTCAGACAGGAACATCTACGTGCCCCCTGTAGACAGATACATTCTCCCCTCAGTTTAATGAAGAGTTGAGTTAACAAGGGGCTGTTGTGCAACAGAGATTGGCTGGAATGCCAGAATATTCATTCATAACTTTACAGTGAAGAATATACTTATATTTTATGCCTGAAGAGCATGAGATCTAAACAAGTGGAATTCATTGTAGAGTGTTAGAGTTCAAAGGTCATCAGACACCAGTGCATCCGCCCACCCAACATGCTCATAAAATAACGTGCAGACACGGACCACATTCGCACTTTGGTCTTTCTTTTCAAAAAATCATGTAATAGATACCAAGTGTTTATTGAGTGCTCTGAGGGTTTTGCATGTTGGTGTGCAAACATTGCAGTCACCACGAGTATCTTATTCCCGTCATAATGAGGAGACACTTGGGTTCGTAATTTTAGGAATTTGCCTGAGGTTACACAGTTTGCCTGTTGGACTTCCAGCCACACGCTTCTTTCATTCATGAACCACTTCCCAGCTGACGGATCCTTTCCTCTGCTCTGCTCATATCCTCTGCAGTGCCTTTTATTTATTATTACTATTATCATCATCATTATTATTTTGGCTTGAGAGTAGCCATTCTTGTAGAAAGTCTGGGCAACTCAGCTCTGAGTGAACCTGTCTTGCCATATCAAGGTTTCTGAGGGACACTTCCTTTTCCTCCATTTTCATCCACATTTTATACCTAATAATAAAAATCCTGATGGAATGTTCAGTGTCATGGGTATCATTCACTGTAAAAAGAAATCGAAACATGAGAGAGACGACGTCAGGTTCCGTGGGGGCAGACAGAGCATGCAGCCCCAGTAACTCCCGAGGCCCGTTCCCACCACCAGGCTGCCCTGCCTCACAGCGCTGGGAGAAGATTCCTGCTGCTCACATGCTAGACTGTGAGCTCCTTGAAAGTACAGGGGGCCCTCAGCCCCCAGCATCACCTTGTTACATAGGGGGCATTTCATCAATGTGCATAAACCAAAGAACTAATTTATTCCTACCATGTAGCAGTCACTCATTCGAACGTATATATTTGTAGAAAGACAGCATTTTTGCCTTGGGTTTTTGTTGTCTTTTTTGTTTTTTACTTTAACAAGAAATGAAAAGGAACTACTTTAATAAAATATAATCAAAACAGTGTTTTTCTATTTGTCCTAAAAGGTTAAAATCTGGAATAACATTTCTATAGACCTTTAAAAAAATCTTACCTTCTGAACAACAACCACCAAAAACCCAATGTAAACAGAGAAGATTCATTCCTCCGACAAAAATCTGCTATGAGGCGACTTTTAAAAACAATACCTTCCAATTAAAAACATTTTGCCTATCATCAATTATTATATTAAAATGTTTAAACTATAAAAGTTAAAATGGACAGTTAGTCAATTAACGTTTGTTGTTTAAGAGCTAAAGACACAGGAAAGGAGATCTATCTAATTCAAGCATCTTGCCTTCCAGTAGGGGAGACAGAACATAAACGCGGAGAAAAGGAACTAATGAAAATGCTGAAGTGTAATAATGCTATGAAGAAACAAATTAGAAACCGTGATGAGATGTATCTGAAACAGAACTTTATCTTGATTAATAGGTGGTTTCTTTTGTCTGTTTTAAGGATGCATCTTCCATAACCCTGTTCTCTCAGGAGTCGGTAGCTATGACTCCAGCAGCTTCTGGCTCTTTTACTTTTTTCTTGAAATTCACAAGCTTTCCTGTGATTTAGGAATTTTTATCAGTTTGTTCCTCAGTGTGTGTCTGTCCTCATCTATGCTGCATAGATGTTGGTGGGCCCTTTTACTCTGCAGACACAGGTTTACCTTCAGCCTGGAAAATTTCACAGATGGTGCGTACAAATCTTGTTTCACCTCGTCCCTTTCATCCTTCTGGATGGCCAATTATTCCCACTGGGTCCCTCTGCATTCCCTCTAACATTTTACTTTGCCTCCTGATTTCTATCTTTGAGGACTTCCTTTTGCGTGGGTCCAGTGTTTCATTCACTCTATCGTCCAGGGGATAAAGTCAAGCATCAACAAAGATCATTCTTTCCTGCTGAGTTTTCCAGGCTGGAAGAATAAAAATAAAATGTTTTCATTCCTCAAGGTCTTTTTGTTGCTTTACTAGAATTTCCTTCAAGTTCTTCCTACGTTTCATTCAGAATGCCATCTGTCTCCTGGGGTGGTTTTATTTTGCTAGGGGACGATTCTGGTTGCTTTGGTTTTCCTCCCATTTTATAGCTGTTGAATCTGCTTACACACGGGCTGTTTTTCTCATGTGCTCGTTGAACCTCAGTCACTGACTTCCTTAGGTGGCTGACGCCCAGGGCAGCCATCCACGTCACTGAAACTGTAGGACAAAGCACCGGCCCAACCCCAGGGTGGAGAGGAATTGGTCTAAATTTTAGGTCATCCTTAATGTATTCAGGAAGGCCTCAAGTTTCAGGTCATTCCTGTTTTGGCAAAGAGGGAAAATGGGCACATTGATGTTTTCAGTGCGGACTTTCCCCCACGGAATTCAGACATCGATGCAAGCCAAGCATTTCCAAGTGGGAGGTGGGAACCCACACAATTCAGGGCCTCTCCCCCTACCCCCAGACTCTCTTCCAACCAGAGGGCACAGAGCCCACTGCACCTGCTCATCGACAAGCTCCAGGTCCCCTCTGCCCGCTGGGCTGGACCAGCAGCTCCTTGTTTGGGGAGAGTCAGTGGGTTGGAATTAGAATCAGGAGCGAAAGGGAATCACGGGGACTTGGCAGCCCTCTCCCCAGAATGAACTCGAAACAAAATGAACAGCTATATCAAGTTCTCATAGCAAAGCTGGCCTTAGAAACACACAGCAGCAGATATCTGCACTGACAACCGTGCTAACCAAGTCAATGAGCAAAAAGAGACATCCTTCCTGTCATCCGGCTCCTGACAGCCAGCGTCACGTACGGGCGAGAGCAGGAAAGCGGAGGACTGAAGACAAGTGCCCCCTGTGCTACACCCGTCCTGACAGACAGTCATGTTTGGTATGTTTCTGGTTATAAAAATACATCTCAGACTTCTGGGTAGGCTTGCCTATTAAAAAATTAGCTTCAACTGTATTTTCCAACCAAGGGAATAACCTCTGCTTTGTTAAAGAAGAAATCTTTCAACAAAAGGTCTACAAGAAAATCAAAGCGCCAAGGAATTAAAATGTGTATGTTCCTGGAAAGGACATGAAGGTAAATGGAAGAACAATTACATCATGGACTTTCTGTTGGTTCTCATAACCTAAAAGAAAACTAACAAAAACAACCAAAAACAAAGACAAAGAAAAGGACAAAATGAAACAAAAATAAATAAAACTCAGAACAGAAATCTAAGTAGTTTGATCCTATCTATGAAGAGGAGCCATCCTTTAAAAGAATCTCAATATACTTAATCCACTAGGAAGAAGAGAAACAAGGCTTGGCTGGAAATGGTGCGATGGACCAAGGGAGAGGCTGGGCTAAGCCCCTGCAGACCTTGTTGCCATTACAGGCGATTACAACAAGGATGCAAGAACAAAACAGAACAAAAACCTGGTGGAAAAGGAAAGCAACGACGCAGGCAGCCCGCGCTGTGTGGATCAAGAAGCCGTGTTTCATAAAGGGTATTGACTTGCCAGCCAAACCTGCCACTCCAAGATCTAACTTTGAAAACCTGATTGATGCAAAAGCAACTTAGATACTTTCTTTAGATATTTGGATGGGTAACCTGTCTCACTGTAATTGGCACATGCCGAGACCGCTACAAAAATCACAGCGTCCTGGAGTAATCTCATGAAACGTTCTCATGGCTGCCCTCGGCTTTGAAGCAGGGTTCACGGGAAACAGCTCTGGGACTGAAGTTTGTTCTTGAAGCTCTTCTGAGGAGGTGAAGTAGACGTCCTCTTCCCTCCGACCACACACTTGATTTACACCGGGCCTGGATCTCCACTGCAGAAACCTGACTTGCTTCCTGGCTCTGTGGCCTCAGAAGAGATAAATGACCCCTATGGGTCATTGTCTCTAAATATACCAAAGCTATTGCTCAGAATGAGTAAAAACCATCTTCAGGCTCTTAGAAGACTCTTCTAACATAAAAAACAATCCAGGAACAGAACTCATAACTTAATTTTACAGGGAGTTTTGGATGTAAAGAGAACATGTAATACAGCCTGTGAATTATGGAAGAACATGAACCGCGGTGACCTGATGCTCCTCCCGCCCACCTCCATGATGTTGCAACAACTTTTTGTTGGTGGTGTTCTTGCCCTGTTACCTCTCTGTAATAAACAGCCATCGTAAACCACACTCTGTCTTCGAACTGTCATTTTTCAGTCATTTTACAATAGGTTAAATTATATCATTATTCAAAATATGGGCACATTCTCTGTGAGAGGTTTTACGCAATTTCAAGATTATGTAATGATCTTAAATTGAGATATTTTTTCCCCCACATGGCAAAGCTGCGGCCCAATAAAAGCTTAAAAATTAGCAACACAACTTTATACCTTTACATTTCCTTTGATTAATTACATCTTAGAGCGATCTCCTGTTTATATAATTTTCAAGTAAACAGTTCTCTGAAAGGAGCTGATTGAGAAATCATCTGCTTTGGCGTTATTGCTGAATACATTCTGAATACCGTACTTAACAAGGAAATGACATCGGGCTGTCCGCCTTGTCGGAAGGGGAGCCACAGAGAAAGGAACTGCTTCTTCTTTGTCCTCCAGAACTCATTTCTACAAATGAGGATAAACTGTCGGAACAATTTCTCACTCCAATCATCATTAGTGATCATTACTAGCAGATATCAAGCAGGGAGAGTAATTTTTATGTAACAATAGCAAATTGTACTATGATGACATGGAAACCATCTCTAATCCTCTATTACAAGGAACAGACAACACTAGCAGAATTCATTTCACTGATCTTATTCTGACGAGTCCTCCAGACCCGGAGGCTGGCCTGGCCAGTGTCTCTTTGGTGTGGCTGTGCCCTCTCTCCACCCCTCAGGCCCTGCAACCTCAGACATGCCCATTCCTTCCCCCAGCTCTCTCCCATCAAGTCCTGCTCATTAATAAACTCACGCACCCAGTAGGATAAGCGTCTGACCATGGCCTCATTTTTCACTTAGTTGTGGTGCAGGCCCTTTTTATTTTAGAGATTATTCTAGTTTTGAGAATGTACGAATGTTTGCAGATCTAGCAGCTGATACATATATGATTTGGGATTTGTGACCTCGCTTTTGTCATTCGGTGTTTTGTGAAGTGTAAGCAGAGCTCTATGTTTTACTATGTTTGACGGCCCGATGAACGCCACGGGGGTGATGTGACTGTCCAAGGAGCGTCCTTGTCCTTCCCACCTGGAGCACATACTGGCCATGATCTGTGACTGCGACAAAATCCATTTGCTCTAAAATTAAAATCAGATAATGTGTTTCAGCGTCATGAGTGTTGTCTGGATTTGGGACATGACACTTCTGACCTGCTCATCATGTGTCATGATGAGGACAGATGGTGTTTTTAAGTTCCATGGTCTGGGCAGTTCAGAATAATCCAGCTAACTCTCCAAAAAGTACTAAAGCAAGGACGAAGCCACACCATGCACTGAAGAAATCTATGACATTTTAATTGTTAAAATATCCAAAAATTAACTTGATGAATATAAAGTAGGATTTCCAGTGGTTTCTTACAAGAATGAAGTCACACTACGTATTGAAGACAGTCTATCACTATATTGATTGTTACAATATTTAAAAAATCAATCTGCTGCCCTGGCCGGTTTGGCTCAGCGGTTAGAGCATTGGCCTGTGGTCCAGAGAGGTTCCTGCTAGAGGTGCCTACCTCGCTTGCGGTTTGTCCCTGGCCCTGGTTGGGTTGTGTGGGTGGCAGCCACTCGATGTGTCTCTCTCACATCGATGTTTCTCTCTCTCTCTCTCTCTCCCTCCCACTCTATCTGAACAAAAAAAAATAGAAAAATGTCCTCCAGTGAGGATTAAAAAAAAAAAGTCAATCTGCTGATTTAAAAAAATGATTTTCCATAGTTTTCTTACTTTTCTTGCTCTAAACTGTACTTCTCTTTTGAAACTTGCTTTTAAAATAACCAGTCCCTCATCTCAAGAGGCATGTTACGTCCCGTCAGTGTGGCTCAGTGGCTGAGCATCATCCCATGCACCAAGAGGTTGCAGGTTCGATTCCCGGTCAGGGCACATGCCCAGGTTCTGGACCCGATCCCCAGTGGGGGCCATGCAGGAGGTGGCCAATGTTCTCTCTCATCGATGTTCCTCTCTCTATCACCCTCTCCCTTCCTCTTTCTCTAAAATCAAAAAGGAAAAATAAATAAAAAAGAGGTATTTCACAATATATTTACAAAATCACAGAGCCCTTAGGTTACGTAGGTCACCTTTTCTCCTCACCTCTAGGCGCTGAAGCAGGTTCACATAAAGGGTTTCTGACGTACTGGAGACTGTTCTTACAGCCCTTCTGTGGGACTGAGTGGAGGGCTCTCCCGCGGACGGCACACCGGTGTCAGGCCCAAGTCCCCACCGCAGTGATCTGAGTGGACCTCTGGCTCTGAGTGCCCCGGAGACAGTGGTGATCACTACCCGTCGTCACCTCTAATATATGAATGCTCCTCAGAATGAGAAAAAGTAACCTCTAGCTGGTACTTAAAATATATCATAAAACTATTCTAAGACATAGAAGTATCTGGGTACCAAACTCAGAGCTTAATTTTGCAGTGAATTATGAACATGAAACACAAATGGGATGTACTCTTCATGACAGGAGGGTCTGCTTGGCCTGAAGCCTTGATTTCCCCCACATGCTCCCAATGCAACACACCGTCATCGCCAAGCTAGTGGGTCCTTAAATCCTTTAAGTGCCATAAGGACTGAGAGATAGTTTCCATGTCATCATAGAATAGTTTGATATTGTTTCTTAAAATGTACCTTCTTTTCTCAATAACTGCTACTAGTGTTTTTTAACATTGACAGGAATCCAAAATTATCCCGTAGTTCTTCCCAGACTGAAGAAACAGTACTGGGGAAAAGTGGGGGTGGGAAAGCATCCCCTTTGTTTCTGGGTTCCCATCTGACGTGGCAGTGGGTGGTCTAGTCTTAAGTCTTTGGTTGAAAATGGAGGCAAATTGCAACTCCAAAAAAAAAAAAAAAATTCATTAATCTGTATATTCTGCTCCCTTAAAAGGAATCTTCAGAAACCATACAGTGATACAAGTATTTTAATTTGGAGTGGGATTTGGAAGTATTTTATCCACAGCAACATGGGGAACATTATACTCAGATTCAGAGCAACATTTCGTGTAATGATTGTGTGTGTGTACACCAACCATAAGCTCTGTGAGGGCAGCCGCCATGTCGCCTGCTGAGCGACCTGCTGTATAAACAACAGGTGATCACAAACTGCGTGTTAGTTCAACAAATCGCTCACAAGGGCTTACAAAGATGAGAAACACCTTTGATAAGCAGGGATCCACAGAATGTGCCTTACAGACCCTCAGCCATGGGGCCCCAAAATGCACCGTCAAGCTAGGGCCAAGGCCACGCTCCCCATGGCTGCTCCTAGACAATGGCTGGCCACAGCAGCGATGCTAACGGGCCTGCCTTCGGGGATGCAGGCCCATTCTTGGAAAACATGGGACTCCCCTGATGGCCGACTGACTCAAGGAATCCCCGAAAAGTGTGCAACCTCTCTAAGATGGCACAGACGTCCAGGGTCCTGGACTTGGCCAGCTCTCTCCCTACTTTCTTTCTCACATGTGTCTCCTTAATAAAATCCTCAGAGGGTTATTTTGTCTTGTCAACTGCGTCTTGGAGAATCTGGACTAACATAATAAGAACCTTCAAGACTGAGCAACTCTCTGGAAAATTAATAGTACCATTTTAGCATCTATTTTACTATAATTTAATATACTATATTAAAATATAATAATATACTACATAACATTTTATTGTAATGTCATATACCACACTAAATTTGACCATAAATTATTAGTCTGCTTGGAATTACAAATTATTTGAACTCAGCATTCGTCCTTGGTCAAGATCGAAACCTTAGGCACATGTCAAATAAATTCTCTCTCACACTTTTAGGAGGATAAGTAGCAGGTCATTGCTGAATTTGGACTTTAATCTTATTTTTCAGCATGAGCAATATGCATTTGAATAATATGCTATTCTGAATAAAAACATTAACATCTTTAATTCCACAGTAATCTCCCCTATTTATTTACAAAAAGGAAAACAAATATTTATATAATGAACATTGTTATTCTCCTGCTTGATTAATACAATCCTTCTAATAGAATGCAGATCAGTTTCCCAATAGTTTTATAATGTATTTAACCCATTTCTATTCACAAACACTATTTCACCAGCAACTGGCATTAAATTTGATGTTATTTCTTCAAAAATATGATTTTACCAACATTATGTATAATTGTTAGAATTTTCTATCTTGCATTTTACATTTTTACATGATGCCTCATCTTAGGTCCTGCTACACTGAGGAATGTTGAGCTGAGGATTTGTTATAGTCAATTGAGTTTTTTATTACTGTAGTTAAATTTATGTAATTTACACTATGAAACGCACTTGGAGTGTTTCAGCTAAGCTCCTAGCTCTCAGCGGCACCGGCACGTGCTTTACATGTCCACGTGGCACCCTGGGAGAAGCCGCCATTCATGCTGTCTCCCTTGTCTGCAAAACAGGAGCATACAACTTTGTTGCTCGTCTCAGACTAGAAAGCCTAGAAAGATTTGTAAACTTAACTATCAACCCTCTCAAGGGCTAATATTTTGATCATTCACTCATGGGTTTAATCAAACATTCTCAAGATTGTGATCATGTACAGGGAATGTAAGGAATGATTAATCAAGGTACAAGTCATGGAAAAGGCCAAAAAAAAATTTTTTATATACATTTACTGTCTTGGATAAAACACCTGTTATTTCTACCTTTATTATTTGATATTTTTGAAGTGTGAGAAAAATACCACGTTTTGTCGTACCAGAGTGGCGTTATGAAGTAGAACGCTTGCTCACCCTGAGGAAGTCCCTGCTCATGATTACATACACCTCTGAGAAAGCAGTTGCTGCCTTATCACTTCCTCATTAAAATAAGGCAAGAGATTTTTTTTTTTTTTTTTGCACGATGAATTTGCAGATGGTGTGTGTGTTTAGAATGTGACTCTTTCTGATCCATGTTGATGCATCATAAACAGAGGAAAGGTTGTTTCTTTTACTCACCTAAAATCCTGCCCAGTACAAGAGATCTGACTGCACTGAATTCTGTCCCTGATACCAGGTGGACCTGTCTCCTTGTATTCTCGTCGATCTACAAAATTGTTCCATGAGACACACAAATCCATGTGGATGTCATTTTGTTGAGAAGAGGACAGGAAGCAAAGGAAGACCAAAAAGAGAGAGAAAATGGGCAATTGTTAGTGTGGCCCCAAAGATTTAGAAAAAAATTTTTTTAAAGAGTTAGCCATTTATGAAGCTGAATATTATTTTCTAATCTGTTTCTATATGACCCTCAGATACCACTGCACCTCACCTTCTATCCCTTTAATCACTTTATTTTTCTTCACTGCATACGAAAGACAAAATCAGTGAAGCCTACATTGTTTTTTCACTTGAGTTATTCAGCTAAGAAATTTTCCTCTATGCAGAGGGCTGAAACATTAGTGCTTTTCTGCAAAAGCTTGTAGGACAATCCCACTTTCTCTACTGTGATTCACATGATTTTTATATATTCTGATATTTCAATCATTGACTTCCGTGCTAGAAGGATGGCTGCTGGCTTCATTAGAGCAGCGAAGGGCCTACCAGTAGTTCACTACGAAAAACTGGATCGCATCTCCCTCCTGGCAAACAAGGAAAGTTCGTATAGTTAAGTGTCAAATATTAATAATATCTTGGACAGAATCTTATCCCTTGTACACTCCAACCACATTGGATGGTCTGTGCGTGGTCTGTGCACGAGACCCACTGAATGGATGTCCTGGTTTAGTCCGTCCACCATCACATCTCTGCGGTGGGTCCTTCATGCCCCCCAGTCCTAACTGTAACCACTGCTTCCCTGGATTTACTACGTTACCTCGACAAAGACCACGCCTTCTTCTCTGTTAATCTTGATGTGGTGAAGTTGCCCATCAGCCATGTTTTTGAAATCAAAGGTAACAACATCAGGTTCTTGATATCTATTTAGCTTGTACCTGATCTGCAAACTTCCTATAGTAGAAGGGAAAATTATATTGTTAGTTAAAATTGCATTTTAAGAGTTACTTAGAAAACTTCAGAGTACCTTTATTATTATTTAGTAGATTCTGGAGAAAATTCACAGTAGTTTATTTGGGTGTATATTTCCTCATGATTCCCAGAAGTCAGTTTCTATGTGAAATTGCATGACTCAAAATCAAGACCAAGCATGCTGCTAAGAAGCACTCTTTTTCCTGCAAATTTTTAACCTCCCCACCCCCAGAAGTCAATATGCAATTAAGCAAATGCAAATCTCTGTACTAGCTTCTAAGTTAAAAAATAAATAAAATGTGGTATATTATAAAATGCCAAACTATCGTGGAATATTGTATTAGCATTCTGTTTCTATAATTTCATTTGTTTAAAAAATGTATCTACCACTCCTGAAATGTCACTGATTAATAAAATCATTATAAGCAAATGTAGTTTTACTAACAATAAAAAATATTTGGTCAAGTGGTCATGGTGTAAACTTTGGAATGAAAACAAGGTAAAATGAATGGTTTTAAGCCAAACTTACTATTAGAATTAATAGTACTCAACTACCTATAAAGATGTCAATTAATTTACTTCACAGAATATCTTCCAATTTAACAAAGAAAATGTCTTAACATATAGATAAGCTTTAAGCTCAAAATGTATGCAATGGCCCGGCCGGTGTGGCTCAGTGTTTGAGCATCCACCCATGCACCAAGAGGTTGCTGGTTTGATTCCCAGTCAGGGCACATGCCCAAGTTGTGGCCCAATCCCTGGTGGGCGGGATGCAGGAGGCGGCCAATTGATGTTCTCTCTCATTGATGTTTCTATCTCTCTCCCTCTCCTTTCCTTTCTCTCTAAAACTAATATAGAAAAAAAATTTTTAATGTATACAATGAGGGCAAATATACTTAAACAATGTTATTTTTATTTTGGCATTCAGTGCCCATGGGCCATATTTGATTTTGTTGAAATGATATATTCACATGTTTGTAAGTGTGTTTATTTTCCTCATGCAGAGAGTATATTTATGAAAGTCTTTAATCAGGACATCAGGAAGAGAAAAAATGGCGGTGGGCAGTCTCTGTGACAGAGTTTCTGTGCGCACACTTGTCCAGGCCGCACCCCAGCTCCTGCACCGATGCACCCGCGTTCCCTATGACTGTTTTATTGCCTATAACTAGAATCGATAGATTATTTTGTGGACATTTTCTTACACACAATACTAGTTTGTTAATATTCCTTCAAAATTTTGCACTTTGAGTTAAAGGAAATATGTGTTTTGTACAGAGCAGCATCTTATTTCAAAATGAACCCCAAAGCTGATACTTGATAGGGACTCGTGAAGAGCTTCTAGTAATAATAAAACATAACAAATAGTTTATATAAATAAATTACCATTCCCACGAGATATGTATAATCACCCCCATTATAAAGAGAGAAAGGCATCTTCATCCCTTTAAATAATCCTTTTGGATTCAATTTATGGAAAAGCACAATCGAGTGCAGAGCACAGGCGCACGGTTCCTCCTCGTGTAGCCTGGGAAGCGAGGTCAGGATGCGGGGCCCTCCCTGGATGCGCTCGCCCACGACACTCACCGTTCCTGGCGATGACCACCGACAGGTACTCTCTGTGCAAGGAGCTCACGTACAGCAGCAGGCTGGGCGTCCGCGTCGTCCGGAAGCTGAGCTCGATCGCTTCTCGGCGCAGCTTCCTCTCACCGTGAAACGAGGCCGCGTGGGAGCTGGAATTCTTACTTAAGGAATAATTTTCTTGAAAATTGTAAACCACGGATGAGCCAGACCCAAAGTATGCAGCAATCTCTGAAATGATATACACATTTTATGTTTAAAAAAAAAAAAAAAAATTAAGTCCAAGGATCTTGTCTCAGTGATAGTAACTGGTGTTGTTAATGAAAAAGGACAAATTACATAAATATAAGAAAAACCCTCGAACCAGAATTAAATGACAGTGCAAATTAATAGAGCTTTCTCAATGGTCATTGAAGTGGCTTTATGTTCAAATGATATGTAATTAATTCACTAATCTTAGCACTGAAAGCTGAATGCTCTCCTGAATTTAAACATAAAACAAGCTTCTTGACTGTTGTCTCCCTTACCGTCCATTTTCTTATTTAAATTTTAAGTGTCCTCTATCATTTTGTAGCTAGACTATACTAGTCTTCCTGTATTAGGAAGTTTGAGGAATCCTATTACTGTCCAGGACTAACATGCAGAAATGTTCCTTTATACCTAAAGACTTTATCATATTTACTGTGCACTACCAAAAGAATATTAAGTCTACCATTAATAGGAGAGAGGGCCCTGGCCGGTTTGGCTCAGCGGTTAGAGCGTCGGCCTGCGGTCCTGAGAGACCTGGGTTCGGTTCCCGCTAAGGGCACGTACCTCGTTTGCAGTTTGTCCCCGGCCCTGGTCGGTCGTGCGGGTGGCAGCCACTCGATGTGTCCCTTTCACATCGATGTTTCTCTCTCTCTCTCTGTTCCTCTCTCTCCCTCCCACTCTACATGGGAAAATGTCCTCTGGTGAGGATAAAAAAAAAAAAAAAAAAGAATAAAAAAAAAAAAATAGGAGAGACGAAAAATGGGCACTTGTTTGCAGTGATCAGCATGAGGAACTCTCCAGCCTCTTTTAAATCATTTTACAAAAGCAGAATCATTTACTTATATGAGATTAATATCCCAAATTCACACATGCACGCGCGTGCATACATACACACTCCAGATCTCCATGCACACATTGAAGAGGACAGTGGGACGGGTAGTTAGTTTGGGGTCTAGAGTCCTGCTTCTTTCCTTTACTAAGCAGGGCCGGTTGTTGAGTGTGAGCTGTGGATGATGCCTACAGGTGATATAGCAATGTTTCCACTCCCTTGGCACTTCAGGAGGTTTTCCGTTTTATTCTTTTTATCATCTATTAAATACTTTGTATATTCAATATAATATGTGGATACAGAATAACTTTCCTGACTGCACTTAACGAGATGAACCAGAAACCACTTTGATTCAGGAAATGAAGACATGTTCCGGTGACCAAGCAGTCTTCTTTCTAACTTTAAATGTGGAAAGTCTTCTACGAGGGGAACAGCAGTGTGTGATTTATGACTACAGGTCGATTTTAAATAATTACTTATTCCTGATAAAAAGTAGATGACTTGCAGAGTGCATTTTTGACAACATTTCATTAAATAATCCCAAATGCTTTCTTTGCAAATTGGAGGTGGCTTCAATTCGGAGCTTATTTTTGTTAGCCTCCTTTCAGAAAAGGTTCACTAACCCAGACATGTTTAAATAAGCAAATGAATTGAATTGGATGACAGTTTTCTATGAGAAACTATGAAAGTATAACAAATATTTGTATATTCAGAGACGTCTGTCCAGAACACTTAATACTACACTCAGTTCTTTTTTCCTCCATGATGTAGACCAGTGAACAAGACAAGCTGAAAAATATTCTCTATTTTACTTCACAGCCAGATACTCGACATATCATAGAGCAAAATGCCCGGATTTTGTTACACATCAATATTTAATAAAAAGGGTATTTATATTCCTGGAAAAACATCCGTTTGGAAAAAGCAAACAAGCAAGAGCAAGCAACGCTTCCTAGATCTCATTGCATTGTTGACTACCTTCATAAAAAATAACAATAATGCCTTTAGTGATTTTAGAATAGAGAACTGTACCAAGGGGCAAGTTGTTGACAACCATATTAAGAGCATCAATATTAACAGAAACAACTCAGATTGAGCACTTAACACTTTAAGACATCTAATGGCAACTACTAGAGGACTTATCATTAATAAACACTTTTTAAGAATTGAGGCTATCCTAAATAATGAAGTATGATTAGCATAAAAAAGCAATTTGAAAAAAGAAAGAAAGAAAGAAAGAAAAATGAAAATATTTCTGTTTTAAACAGCAACACAGGCAGTAATGGTTAGACATGTATTTGTACTGGATACAATTTCCTGCTAGGTACCCACGCCACACTTACCATTCGAGCAGAAGGGCCCTGCGTATGCAGAGAAGGTGCAGTCACAAGAGAACCCACTGGGCTTTTCTCTGCATTTCCCTCCATTGCGGCACAACTTCCCGTAGCTGCTGCAATGCCCTCTACAGCCTGGCTCCACTCCGGGAGTCACCTTGGCTCTTTCCTCCAGGTCCAGGGCCAGCCCGTTCAGCTGCAGAGACCGGATGCATCCCAAAAAGCCCCTCTGTCTCGTGGCCGTTCCGCCTAAAAGAGAAACACCGCAAATGGAAACACATTCCTAGGTGTTTTATTCAGGATTTAGGACCAAACAAAACTGAGGCCTCACAGAGAAAGGCGAAAATTGCAGCCTTACAGAGAATGGCAGAGATTTGAAGAGCAAAAATATAATTCTGGAAGCACAATTTGTGACAAAACACTGGAAGACTTGAAAAAGACAAAACATTACAGTAATTCAATGTTTTCCAAAAGTTGACTTTGCTACATATTTGTTTTCTAAAATGTATTTATAAAACTCGAAATTGAGAGGGTTTCTTTATTTCAAAGAACAAAATAAAGGCTACATCTTACTTTGATACAAAATAACAGTGAGATGTATTGATGTTCCTATGTAGAAAGTAATTTTTTTTTTTTTGCAGTGTTAAATAAGAATGTATTTGTGGGGGAGTGTGGTGTGTTTTCATATTGAAAAACGATCCTGTTGCTGGTAGTTTTAATTTAGTGGGAACTATAATGAAATCCTTGAGTTCTAATTTGTGCATTGATGTCCTTTTGGTTGTTTTTTAGTTTGTTTGATTTTGGTTGAATTTTTTTCTACATGTTGGTCCAGTGTTCATTGTTTTAAGTTTGGAAATATTAGCAGCAAAATTGGGGAGGGGATTCATGAAGCAACACATCAGTGGTATAACAGTTACTGAATAATATACAACAATATGTACTTAACAAGTCAGCCTTGGAGAGGTTTAAAATGTTTGGATAGGATCAAAGCCTGTTATCCTAAGTCAGAGGTTCTCAAACTTGAAAAAAATATGAGTATCCACGGAAGGGCTTCATAAAAATACAGGTTCAGGAACTCACTCCAAGAAATGCTGATTTACTGATTCTGTGGGCCAGAGACCGTGCTCAACAATCCCTACAGGGGAGTCATTCAGACGGTCACCTGGCCAGCACATTTAAAGCACCATCCTATGGACTGTCACATACATTTTGTCCAGAAATACCATAAATTAATGCGCAGAACTTGAAGTGGTAAAATAGCACCCTAATCTAAATTATTTGGGGGATTCTATCAAGAGGCACTTAGATGGCCATGGGACCTTTGAAAAGGAGCTTCGCCCTGGCCGGTTTGGCTCAGCGGTTGGAGCATCGGCCTGCGGACCAGAGAGTCCCAGGTTCGGTTCCCGCTAGGGGCATGTACCAAAAATGAATAAATAAATAAAAAGGAGTTTCGTCTTTGCACAGAGGCACACCAGGACCTCATACCTGCTCTGTGCACATTCCGCATACACCCCTCCCACCTCCCCCAGTTCATTTATTGGCTCCTAATCTAGCCTTACTTAAAACCTCTTTAGCCACAGAGATTAAACAGTTTTTTTGGTATATCAAAAATAAAACTTGGCCGAAAAGACCCTAAATAACTATTTGTCACCATCTAGCAGGCTTCACATTTGACCAGTTGAGGTGGCACATGGTCAGCGCCCCTCCATCAGAACACGCACATCCAGTCAGGGCTGCTCCGTCCCACGCATGCCCAGCACACCACACCATGCCTGGCCGTAACAGCTGGGCAATAACGACTCATAATCACTAATTAATAATAGTCACTGATACTCAGTTAATTATGACCAATTAATTAATGCAGTTGTTAATTAAAACAGATTATACTTTAGGACTGTGAAATGGGGGCCCGTTTGAAGAGAGAAACGTCTTCTGTTGCACAGGGGTGTTGGCTTCCGGAGACTGAGGATGAAACCCAATGAATATAGAATGGAAGCAAATTAATTTACTATTTTTGGATAATGAAACACGAATAAGAAACCAAAGGAACTCTTGAGAATTTTGGACTTGCCGCATTAACGCTCTTTATAATTCAGATTCATAGACATAATGGTCTCTATTCAAATGACTGTATTTAAATGTCTGTATTCAAATGGCTCTAATTGACATAAATGGTGCCTCTTTGATGAAGACTCTAGACGTCTTCAGGGCGTGTGTCTGAGTTTCTATTTCCGAATCCCAGTGCGGTGAGGTGCGGACACTCCAGCCCCAGTGCGTGCGGGCGTGGCAGGGAAGAAGGGTTGACCTCCTCCCAGTTCCCAGCAGCTGGGCATCTTCTTGATTCAGTTCACCTGCATTCACTCCATCTCCTGCCATTCTTGCAAACTCTCTTCTGCCTCTGCCGTATTCTCAGGACTCTTTTTTTCCCCTTCCATATCAAAGCTGCTACTCACCTCAGCTTCAGACCTCCCAATTTTCCCATCTGCTAACTCACCCCGGAAAGAATGTCCGGGCTCACAGTTCAGCCTTTGATGCACACTTTCGGCCTCCTCGCTGGGGTTTTGTCTCCTGGATGAGGCAGCCCACAGCCTTGGCGTTAGCTTTAGCCCAGGAGCTCTCTGGAGGAGGGCCAGATCCTGTGAAGTCTGGTTAGAGGACTACTCTGGTATATTTCATTTAACTCATGTTATAGTCCTTTAAACCACGGTATACAGTTTATAGTACATAGCAATGTTAAATCACTGTCTGCTCTGATTTGTTGCTCTAAACATCCAGTCTCTCTGATGTAGGTGTTTATCTACGTCTGCCAGGGACGTAATAATAACTAAACAACTTAGAGTCCTACAACTGAATGCAATCCACTGTCCGCTCTTCCAACTTCTTTATTCTTGTTTTGTTTTCTTTTGTTTTGGTTCAGATGATGAGACATTTAAAGAAACACATAATTACCCCAGAATGTTATTGGTACAAATAAATACCAGGTAGAGAAGAAGGTCAGAGAAAAGAGATATTAACAGGAAAAAAAAATGTACATCTATGTGTATAGAATGCATATTTAAATAGTGTTTGTAACAGTGAGAAAAAAATCAATATTTAGCTTAGTAAACAGGCCTTCTTAATTCTGTACTTTTAAAGGGTTAGTATTTACCTAGTCGAGTAGTTTTAAACTACCTTTTTAAATGATCAAAAAGTAATGGCTAATTAAATATAAACAGACATGTCACACATGTATTGAGGATGTTTACTTGACCATTAGGTTTCAAGTTAACAACATTGTATTTTAAGATGTAACTGTTTTGGAAAACATGGATGTTGCAGGGAGGATTGGGTTTCAGAGCTTAAAGAAAGATCCCAGAGCCTTTTCAGGGTTAGAGTGTGTCCAATTAAAATGAGTTGCAGTTTGATTAATTGATTCTGGATGTTTCTGCTGAGCTGTTATGTTGGGAACTGTCTTCCAATTAATTTTCTATCAGTTTACCTGCCAGACGATATTGGAGAGAATGAATCCCAGAACTTCCCGAACACTGAGTCAAATGCCTAACCTTTCTACGTGGATGCGTATAGCTGAGCTCATTCACTTACACAGCAGTACTGGGGTCCTGCACCTAAGTGAGGGTGCTGGGTGCTGAGCAGAGACTGAGTGAGCCCTATCCTTTCATCGTATTCATTAGTCTCGGGAAGTTAGTCCAAGTGAGAGATGCTATTGCCACAGAGAACAGGCTGACTCGTTCCTATGCCAACTTCCCACTACTTTTTCCCACTATTATTTTGTGTGTGTGTGTATGTGTGTGTACGTGTGTGTGTGTGTGTGTGTGTGTCAGGAAGACTTTTAGTTTTTAATGGCAAATTATTTATGTGCTGTGCTTGGATAAATTGAGAATTAATTGGGAACAACTGCATAATTCGCCCAGGGGCCTTAAAGAAAGAAAGAAATCTAGATTCCCCACATTTCTCTTTAACATTCAAAGTTATGAAATCACGTCTGGCAGAGGACAGGAGCTCTCTGTGGGGCTGTGGCAGAGAAGGCAGCTAAGACCCTGACCCCAGATCAGCTTGGGGCCGGGAAGCAACAGGGTATGGGGGCTGGGCCCGGGATCTACAAGTCAGGGCGCTGAGGGAAAAACGTGTCTCGGGGGAAAAGGAGAAACATCTGTAACAAAAATAAATTAATAAAAACTGAAAAAAAAAATAAATAGTGATAAATGAAAATAAAATCTGCATGTGATGAATTGTACCGATAGTCCCGTCCTACTCAGCCATCCGGGGGGAAGTCAGCCTTGCAGCAGGGACGGTGTTAGCTCACACCGAGGACTAGGGGATTGGAAGCCCAGCTATAACTCTGCCACGGAATGTTCCTCATTGAGCAAAGCCCTGGGAGGGCAAGGAGGAGGAAGACTCTTCTCGTGTTCAAGGAACTGTCATGGTGGGAAGAGGCAGCTGGTATAGGCGACACTGTCATAGAGAACATGCAGTCCCTATCCCCTGAACCAACGTCAGTGGTGAAAACAGGTCCCGGTGGCGGTCACAGCAGGGAGAGTGGGTCTGTTTGGGTTTCTCATGTGGCAGAGACACAGTGGCTCCGCTGTGACCCAACTAAGGCCTATTTAAAAGAAATGAACAATTGGTGGCGTTGGTCACGTTCTCCGATACCAAGAGATCCCATCTGAATTCTGATTTTAGTCAACACTCAGATTTGCTCACGGCACATGGAAAAGGGAGCTTCTGAGGCGAAACATGAAAAAGACATCTGAGGAAAGGGAGAAGATAATTGAAATAGATGATATGATTACATTAAAGAGAAAGGTGACTTTTATGGACTGCACTTCGGTACTGGGGCAACATGTTTACTGCAAAAGAAAATCTGAAATAAAAAACCTTTCAAACATGAAGCTTTGGGGGCATTCTCCTCTGCAGCTCGACTTTGCCTATCGAAAACAAACTGAACACGAAAAGAAAAAAATCCAGAACACTTTGTAATTAAGAACTTCTGTTCATCAAAAGACACCATCAACAATATGAAAATACAACTCCACAGAGAGAAAGAAAAAATATTTGTAAATAATTTATCTGACTAGGAATCATGCAAACTATATAAAGACATTTTATTATTTTTATTTTTTTATTTTTTTTTAATCCTTATCCGAGGACATTTTTTCATTTTTTGCACAGACAGAGTGGGAGGGAGAGAGAGGAAGAGAAAGAGAGGGAAACATCGATGTGAAAGGGACACATCGAGTGGCTGCCACCCG